CAGATCCCGGGTATATTTGTCAGCTGTACGTGTTATAAATATTTCCTCCCACGCTAGGGCTTGCCTTGACATTTTCTTAATAGTATAAGAAGGAAATTAAGTAATCTATTATCTGTGGACCTCTCGGGTCTTTGATTTTGATGATCTTTCTGTTCACTATTTTCATAGAGTGAGTCAGATAAATAATGAGCTGAAACTTGGCCAGTATTTTTATGGGGGAGACAAAGAGGAAATGACATGCAAACAAAATGCAAAAGGAATTGGTGAAAAAGGAGGTTTTATTAGGGCCAAGAGTACTCAATTGAATCTGGTAGGTTCTTTAGCTTCAAACTGGCCCTTCAGAAAGACCCCAACTCTTTCCTTTATTTTTTCATTCAAATATTGACGGAGCACCTGCCATTTAGAGGATGGCTGTATAGTCCGTCATACAAACCAGGATACTTTGTAATCAAAGAGCTATTACCAAATAATTATGGCAAGACCACAGGTATAACCTGGGACAAGTAGGATGTATCGTTACCACACCCTTATGTCTTTAGAATGAATGGAAAAAAAAAAAAACAAAAAAACGGTCTCTGGTGTTAAAATCCCCATGGTATAGAAGAGTGAGTTTGTATGCTAGGATAGTAAGTTCTGCATACGTGGAGCACGAACACTCAGAAAATGTTCCAGTTTCTCAGGCCACCCTCTTCTCCATGCTAACGGAATCATATAATGTAGTCTCATATCATGTATTTCTACAATGCTAGATATACGAGCTTCCCAAATTCTTGTAAAAACTCTTTATTTAGACAGATCTGTCACTTAAAAGCTTTTATAGATGAATATTTAGCTGAGGATAAATAAACTTAAAGCATTCCATTAATTCTTGCATACTTAAGAAAGATTACGCATATTCGTAACGCACCCATTTGGCTATTTAAAGCACTCCGAAATAACTCAGGATTAAAAAGTACGGTTTTTATGAACAAACTGTACTATCTGCGAATTTTCAGTGGATTATTCCACATATCTTCCAGAAAATACTCACAGATTATCGCCATCAAGGAATTGAAGTTGCCGATGTTGAAACACTCCCGGGCCACGTCGATGAAATACTCAATCATCCTCGCTCGGTGTTTCTTCTTGACGGGCTACGCAGGACGGAAACAACAGAGGGCGGTTATCCGACACGTAGGCCCATCAGCTCTAAAATCATACAATATCGAGGGCTAGGAGATAGAAAAAGTTCATTTTCTCACCATGCAGATTTCTGTAGCAACCAAGTAGCTGAGGCGATTAAACCATTCCACGTAAGCTTCTAGGTTTCGTGTTTTCTTACGTTCACTGTAGCAACTCTATAGAAAAAGCAAAGTATTGATAAACAGATGAGTTAGAGGAAAAAGGAATATATTGCATTGTCATTTCGTCTAAAATGGGCCTTTGTTCTCAGGTTTATGGATTAGAAAAGCTTTGGTGGCCATCTACCCAAAAGAGCAAATGATACTGTATAAGAAAGACACCTGCACCCGAATGTTTATAGCAGCACAATTCACAATTGCAAAGATGTAGAAACAACCCAAGTGTCCATCAATACATGAGTGGATTAATAAAATGTGGTATATGTATACCATGGAGTACTATTCAGCTTTAAGAAACAATGGTGATATAGCACCTCTTGTATACTCCTGGATAGAGCTGGAACGCATTCTACTAAGTGAGGTATCCCAAGAATGGAAAGACAAGCACCACATGTACTCACCATCAAATTGGTATTAACTGATCAACACATAAATGCACATATAAGAATAACATTCACTGGATGTCAGGCAGAGGGGAGAAGGGGATGGGTATTTGCATACACAAAGAGTGCAATGCGCACCATCCAAAGGATGGACATATTTGAAACTCGGACTTGGGGGGGCGCGGGGCAAGGGCAACATGCATAACCTAAACATCTGTACCCCCATAATATGCTGAAATAAAAAAAAAAAAAAGAAAAGCTTTGGGGTGGGGGAGAGAGAGACAGAGAGAGAACGAATCACTAACATTCTTCATTGTCCTTACACAAATATCAAAATCTTTCAGGACAGTCCAGTGAAACACCTGAGGTCTAGAACTGCTGTCTGGTGCATCCAAAAAAATGCCCTTCCCTCTGTTCCCAGGAAACTCAGAAGCGCAATTCAACAGAAGGATTCTAGCTGCATTCTAAAACCATCCCGACTGATGAATGGGCTGCAGATACCAATTACCATCCACTCGGCAAGGAGAGGCTAGGAGTACAGAGGACTAGAAAACTTTCTCTTAGTTAGGCTGTAGGACAAAGCTTTGGAGCATAGTGTCACAAGACACTAAATACCTTCCAAGGTAGATAACTGGAAGTCTATAGCACCATGGTCTTTAGCAGAGTGAGTGACACATTGTTCCAAAGCAAAAGCTAATCTCATCTTGGAGTTCAAGGCCAGCTTGACGAGGCTAATTACACCCCTCTTTCCTGCCTTCCAAAAGAAACAAAAAAGTCCCCTAGCCTTCTACTGGAAAACATATTCTTCACTTCCTGTACTGAGAGAGACTATTTTAAGGCCGGAAAACAGCTGTTGCTCCTAGTCCCAGAGGGGGGCTTTAGCAGTGGGTGATGCGGTCTTTGCCCACCCGGTCAAAACGCTTCCGAGTCACCGGGGAAAACGCTTCTCATACGTACACCCTGACTTTACAGTCCAGGCCCAGTACTGTCGTCTTGACGTGCCGGCTTCACCCAGGCCCCAAACTTAATCAAGAGGGATTCGCCTTCAAACGAGAGGCCAAGCAGCCCAGCCCTCGCTCAGCCAGCGGGAAGCGCATCCTGTCTCCTGCCCTCACTATTGTTGAATCACGAGCAAAGCACCCTCTTTTATTTTCTTTCTGACTTAATCTGCTATACCCATTAGCCTTCTATCTCCTGCCTTCGTCACCACAAATGCCTGCATCTAGCTGTTCTAAAGGTCTTACTAAATTTCCCAATCGAGAGGAAGAAGAGGCTTAGTGATGGGGTAAGAACATTGCAAAGGCGCTCGGAGACCTAGCTCAGGAGAAATTGCAACGAATCGGATGTTGCTAATGAAAAACGACGTTTCTGATTTTAAAACCTAAAACGGAATAGTTTCAAATGCTGTCTTTGATACCCTCTGTCACAGAGTAAGGAATTCTATTTCTGGTTTCAGGGCTGAGCTCTGGGTAGACCGATTACCTTGTCGTTGTCCAAAGGGTCCTTCTGCACAAACGCCTGGACAAACTCCTCTGGCCCGATGTAGTTGAGCCGCTCCTGAAATGCAAATGCAGCGGGCGACAGTATGAACGAAAATGAGAAGAAATGGACCGTCAGTCCCCTCTAGAGACTTGTGGCACCATCCTCATTTTTTAATGCAGATGAGAAAATAAACCTTTCACCCTAAACACTTCCGTCTTCTTCAAGGTTTGAACAGAGGCAATTTTCTGTTGAGGCCAATATTCCAGATGCTAATGAAAGACTCAGTGAGTTATGGAAAAATTGATTAGAGGCAGAAGATGGGGAAGGTCAATAACCTCTTTGCTTTTTAGATGTGTTTAATATTTATTTACAAGCGGATTCCCAGGCTATCAGAAGCATTCACACCCCAATGTCTAAACAGAGCATGCTTCGGCTATTCCACAGATGATGTCCCATTTGGATTATGCCGACCCCTCCCGCTGTCGTGACTGCTGACAGACACGCCGTCTGGTCGCCAAAGCAAACCGCGTCTGTGTCGCGAAGGGCAGGGACGGCAGCAGCCTTACCAGCTCTACGTGCGTCAGCTGCTGGGCCAGCGTGTAGGGGTCGCTGCAGACGGTGATGATGTCCCTTTGTATGGACTGCGGCTTGGTCTTGAGAACGGTGAGCCGATCCGTAGACGTGGAGCTGATTTTCGCCAGGACTTCCTCGTACTGGCTGAGCGCGGCCAGTTTGCGGATCAGCCCCTGCATCATCTGCTGGACGTTCTTCCGGTACGTCTGCTGGGGGATGAACGAAGGATACGTCCTCACTCTGCACGTCTGTTTTCACCACCGTGCACGTGCAGAGACTACGAACGATTGATTCTAACTTGACACTGGAAAGTCAACTTGATTCAGGGTAATTACGGGAGGATTCCGTTAGCTCTAACGGTTTAAAAGAGACACATGTGCTTAAGGTGTCTTTGCAGACGTGTGAGCTTTAGTTCTTTTCTCAGGTTGCCGTTGAGAGCACAGCTCAGGTGGGGCCATGAAAACACTACAGGGACATTTTAGGTTGCCTGTTGGGACATACAGCCTAATGAGTACTACACACAACTAACTGTCTCTCTTCTGGCAAAGAGATGCACCGGTTTACCTTTGGTGGGTTGAAATACATTGATCAAAGTCAAAGCCTCCTTTTCCTAACACTTTTTGATTTCTCCATTCCTACCATTCCCAATCTCATTAGTCTAAAGACGTGCACAGCTACCCGACAGAAATACACCATTACTTCTCACTCACCCTCCAGCCCACCGTCCTGACTTCTGCCATGCCATGGGTTACCACGAGGACGCAGTAGATAATCACGTTTGGTATCTGACCTCCTCTTGGCTCATGCCCACTTTCGTATTCATGAGTCAGGACTAATGTTCACAACAAAGTTCCTCCACGTGGCAATTCTCCCTCTAATGCTACTCCCGGGTGCCATTTTGTTCACTACTTCATTATGCTACAGCCACACGCTTAAGAGAAATTGGTTTGAAAAGCATTGCATGTATCATAGGCAAGCGTCAACCTCTTGACTTTCAAAACAGTTGGTAAGTCAAATAAATGACTTCACAAGCAATCAATCCCCAGGGTACAGTCATGATACACGTAATGGAGTTCCTTCGGTCTTTTTTAGCCAAAAATTGCCAAACAATTGTCCTTCTGGATGAATTATGATGCCTGGGTCAGAGAAAGGCACGCAGGCTGGCTCGATTGCTCACTAGGCCCTCGGATTAACAGCTCCAGAGGAGGACGGTCCCAGGAAGTTTACAGATGTAGAAAGACCTGTCTATGGCTTCACTGCCTTTTTAAGAGATACCACAATACCATTCGCTGAGATTAATTATCTGACAATTAAGTGGCATTGCCTACAAGTATAAGAGCCACACTTTTTTACCAAGACAATTTGGGTTTTTAGAACATATTATAAAAACCTAAATGAAGAGATATTTGCCTATGAGGAAAATCACAGCACATCTGGAAATGGTTTAATTCTCACACAATCAAGGCACAAAAAGTAGAAACAGCCTTCTTTTTCCTTTTCTTCTTCTCCTCTTGTCAGTGTATATTCCACTGAGTTCTTTCAACTGGTCCATTAAATGACCTTTATTAAACATTCACAGACTACCCTAAAATCACTAATGAAATACGTAAGTGTTTAAAAATTGAAGCTTCAAAAAAATCCGTCTTCCTCAAAACGTTAAGGTTATCAGTTTAGAAGATGCTGTTTGGTAAGATGCTTGTCACTCAAGGAAAATGCCTCTTTCTTTGGAATTCCAAGTGCTCAAGGCTGAGTTGAGGGCTGTTTTAAATCCCTCAGCCCTCTTCCCCGTCTTCTACTTTCATAGCTTTGAGTTACGTTAAAAATCTATGAGCTTGGCCGGGCGCGGTGGCTCACGCCTGTCATCCTAGCTCTCTGGAAGGCCGAGGCGGGCGGATTGTTTGAGCTCAGGAGTTCGAAACCAGCCTGAGCAAGAGCGAGACCCCATCTCTACTAAAATTAGAAAGAAATTAATTGGACAACTAAAAATATATAGAAAAAATTAGCCGGGCATGGTGGCGCATGCCTGTAGTCCCAGCTACTTGGGAGGCTGAGGCAGGAGGATCGCTTGATCCCAGGAGTTGGAGGTTGCTGTGAGCGAGGCTGACGCCACGGCACTCACTATAGCCTGGGCAACACAGTGAGACTCTGTCTCAAAAAAAAAAAACAATTTTGAGACTTTCCCACAGATTAGGATTTCGTAGATAACATAGGTATGAGACGTGTGTAGGAAAGTTCTTTTCACTCAAAAAAGCCGCCAACACCTCATTTTAAAATATCCCGCCTATCGCAGCAGCCGTCCCATGCATGGCAGCAGCCCTCCATCAACCCCCGAACCCCCAGCACCCCCACCAAAAATACTTTTGTCGGGAATTACCGCTTCTCTTCCGGTTACCACGGGAGGGTATCAGTGAGAAGCAATGAGCACATGGGACAACCGACCGGGGACAGCCTGCCACTGGTCCCGTCCCCAGAGGTTCTGACCGAGTCGCTCTGAGCTGCACCTGAATCCCAGGCTTAAATGCCCCTCAGGTGACTCTGATGTACAGCGAGGTGCGAGAAGCAGCCCTCTACTAGCACGTCTGCTGAAAGATTTTTATTCTGCACTGTAAACACACTTTTTTAGGGAAGAGGTAGAAGCATGTACAGCCAGGTTGTGAGTGAGCAAAACGCAGCAGCAAAATGTAAGAGAAAAAACGTGCTTAGCAGGATATAGGGGGAAAGCTATTCGGGTAATTAGCGTGTGTGTGAGAAAGAATACGTGAGACCGAGAATGTGTATAAGTGACCTCTTTTAAAAGTTTCCTGCTGCCGTTTGATTCCATTTGAGAAATCAAGCTTCGTGTTGTTAAACAGGGTTCCTCACTGAGTCATGAATTGCTAAATATGTACTTATTCTTTTTTATAACTTCAAATGCCAGTGACAGTAATTACCTGGCAAATAAAGACAGAAGTTCTTATTAGAAAGACCAGCCCCTTAAGGAAGAGAAAAATTGCATTCCGCAGTCATTTGTCATGTAATTCGATCATTAGTCTCATTTCACGTTTCTTGCAGGCGAGTCCTAATAAACCACTTCGTTTCGGGAAAATCCCCAGGGGGGAAAACATACTAAGCCAAATTATGTGGAACTGTCCTGGCAGATCCAGAAGAACCTAAGTTATACACAGGGCACACCTGGATTCACTGACTGCCAGAAAAAACGAAAAATCCCCGAAGTCCCAGGCGAGAAGCAACAAGTCTCAACCCAAACCCACACTCCTTCCAGTGGGGAAAATAATTTTTCCTAATCCAGTAATTGATTTGTTTATTCATCCATCCATCCATCCATCCATCCATCCATCCATCCATCCATCCTACTAAATGCATGTACTGAGCTGGTAGCTGAGGTTGCCATGGTGAACAAAGAGGGCGCACTGTGGAGTCCGGTGAGGAAAACAAGCGATAAAAATGTAAGCGTGGTCTTCCCTCCGTATCTGGGGAGGACGGAGTCTAGGACTTGCCCAGATACCAAAATCCGAGGATGTACCAGTCCCTGCAAGAAATGCCATAGTATCTGCATCCTCCTATATACCTTAAATCACCTCTAAATTACTTGCAATACCTCATACAATGTCAATGCTGTGCAAATAGTTGTTGCGTTGTATTGTTTAGGGAATAATGACAAGAAAAAATTCTGTACATGCTCCGTACCAACGCAATTTTTTTTCTGAATATTTTCAATCTGAGGGTGGCTGAATGCATGGATGCGGAACCCACAGATACAGACGACAGACCATAATCACCAACCACAGAGTGGGGCGAAGAGCTGCGGAGGAAATGGAGAAAGCCAGTAACAAGAGGGGGTGTGACCGCAGTTGGGGTGGCGCGGGAAGGTCTCTTTGGGCAGAGACACTTACCCACATGGCAGATGAGGAGCCTGCCAGGTGGGAACTGGGGACAGGGCATCCGTCACACACTGTTAGAGCTGAGAGGGACATTAACACAGAGCCGTTGCCTCCATGATGTACAGAGATGAGGAAGCAGCAAGGAATTTCAGGGACTCGCCAAAGCATTCTCGAATCAACGTGGGGACCCGATTTTTGAATACGGGATAGAAGCAGCCAAAGAAAAAAACAACCAACTCCTTGTAAAACCCAACCTCATCAAGGCAGGTGACATCTCTCCACTCTGCCCTCAGTTTAATCAATTCCTCGGTGAGATCTGGCTAATATTATGTCCTCTTTTCATGCTCAAAACCCACCCGGACGACTTCTGGAGGTTTATAGCAAGAATATGTTACTAACACGGCAGTGCTGATGAGAAGCCAGACGAGGCTGTTGGCCCTTTTCTTAGATCTGCCCACCTCTCGAATGGCTTGATCCTGTCAAACAAAAAGACCGGCTCTCATCTGGTCAACACAAACAGAAATGAGATCCGTCTTGCGCTCCCGTGACAAGAAGGATCAAAAGCCATTCGTTTGTCATTTTCAAACCACTGATGTGTTACCTGAAAAAGCAAAAGATTTTTAAGGTGTTCCTTTTGGAAAGAACTGAGTTATAATTTCTATCTTTTATCTCTTTTTATTTTTATTTTAGAGACAGGGTCTTGCTCTATTGCAGGCTGGAATGCAATGGTGGGATCATAGCTCACAGCAGCCTCAAACTCCTGGGCTCACGCTGGGTTCTCCCCCCTCAGCCTCCCAGAGTGCTGGGACTACAGGCGTGAGCACCACGCCCCGCCAATTTTCAACTTTTAAAACAGCAATAGAGGGAAGGTGGGATGATGGACACATAATATTAAGTAGCTGTACACAACTGAAATGAAAAACTATCTGACTCAGGTCTCAGCCTTCATACAAGAAAAAGTCCTTATGATGCCACTAATCTTTTGAGCATCTTGTCACAAACCAAGGTCACGGAGCCAGCATTGACCCAGCCAAGTAACTCAACAGCGAACCCCTCTAATAAGAGATTTGCTACAAAACTGCACTGCGATGTTTAACTTTTGCCTTTGTGAGTGAGGGAACCATTATAAGCACACCTGGCCAGAGCCCTAACAGGCAAATTGGCAAAATGATTGTAACAGTCAGGACTTGCAAAATGACTCAGGAAACGACTCATTCAGGCTTGCAGAAATCATGGCTGTCCTGAGAGCCAGGGTTCGATCTAACGTCATAAAGTGACAGCGAAAGGGTTTTAACTCCATTTTCACGAGAACGTAATGCAGAAAAGCCAAGTACAAACATTTCAAGTTTCAATCTTATATAATTTTAGACTGATTTTGGGGGGCAGAAATGGCACTAACGTGTATTCCCAAGACCCAGACAGAACAGATAAGGTGTCTTGTTACGTCATCTTTACCGCACACCACGGAAGGGACGCGTTCCCAGGAAAGGTCATTCGTGATGGGGAAATGCATTTTAGGACGAATGACAGAAGACATCACTGCAAATGCCAAATGCTTCCTCTACTGTTTCCATGAAAATGCTGTATCTGCGCCTAAGCATCTTGTTCCCCAAAACCGAGCAGCAACCTAGCAACCAACTACAAGGACATCCTTCCCCAACAAGCCTCAACACAGAACACCAGCCCTCGGGGCCTGCTTCAAAGAGGATAACCTTGAATTTGTCACAGCTAGTTAACTCTTACCAAAGGCTCAGCTGAGGGAGGTGATATTTATGGGAGATTATCTAAGAGCCTTTTAATCTCCACCTACACTGGGTCCTAGCCTGGACCCACCTTCCAGGCACCAGAAGATGCACGTCATTTTCTCAGCTTTCTTCTGCTCTCCCAAGAATTACCTTTGCTAATTTACACATTAATCTATGGCCTCGGCTTTTATCAGGGAGCATGTGTCGTAAACACTATAAAGAGCAGTTTCGATGATTTCATTCTATGTTCTCTATACCAAGTCCCTTCTAAAAAAGTTTTTAAAATTTTCGTTTAATGCCCTGAAGAATGAGTGTGCTTTCCTTTTTGTAACAGTCAAAATTATGTACCCTGCTGTATTTTCCTTTTGCCTGGAACTTAAACAGCAGTCCTATCCTACTCTGTTGGCTACTGACATTCGCATTTGTTTTCTCCTTTCCATGCTCGAGATGGTCTATTTCTATTGATGATTTATTCATCTACTACCTAGAATCTGTTAATATACTAATATGTTGTTTACTTTGTATCTTTTAGTGTTTCTGTCTATTAATATGCCACTTAGTACCTAACCAGCTGTGTCAAACCTTTTTGGAGGGAAGGAAGGTATGAGTAAAGGAAAATCAAAACACATTGCAACACGAATTCTGTGCATGAATTGACATGAACACAGCCCCAAATTAATCACATCAAACTCTAGACCGTATCCCTTTGAAGCGGGATGGTAAAATCATTCCCATTTGACACACGAAACAGACCAATACGCTACGTTAGGGAGCTCGCCCAGAGACAAAACAGAAAGGAAGTAGTGGAGATTTTGATGCATAATTCAGCACCGTTTCCCACCAAGGCTGTGCCCGGGAATTCCAGAGGATGGGCTAAATTCAGGTGACCAACCTCCTCGCCACTGGCTATCCGGTGAGCCAGATCTTTTAAGTTTCTCATCATTCTTTCATCCCGAAAATCATAAGGGAACGTTTCTGTCCATTCTGTCAGGAGTTGAAGGATTTTGGGTGCAATTTTTCTTATCTGGTTCTGGGGGAGAAAAAGCAAATCTAGTTCAGTGAGACTCATCACCATGGACTACATCAAATAGATAATTACAAACAGTGCCACTGATAATAATCTAGCGCAGAGTCTTTGGGTTTGAAGCAGCAGCTCCAGCCCCCCTCCCGCCATGTCGACGCCAAGTGCCACCAACTTGAGGCAGGATTTCGGGATCCTCCACGACATTCAGTCTACACTGTGTTTTTTCTATCGTTCACAATCCCCCCTGCATAGCCACGATGCCATTTATGCACTGCAGCCTAGGCATAAGCTAAGGTTACTTAAGGGAACCAACTCTACAAAATCTGAGCCACAGAGTTAGCAAATCTAATTTAGAAATTGTGAAGTTTGAAACGTCATTACCTTATCACCATCGGGGTCACTTAGTCTCTGGTGCTCCACACATAAGTGGCAGACTTTGGCCATTAGCTCATACGGATGCATAAACAACCGAGAGCTGAGTAGGAAGGTAAATATGTAAGTTCTCTGCGGCAAGAGAAAAAAAGTCATCACGGTTACACATTCTCTTCGAAATTAATCTTTTTTCCTGTATACTATACATCTTATTTCATTAAGTTCTCTTGATCAAGTTAATACGCTGCAGTTTCTAAAGTAATGCCAACCAGTAGTTAAAAAAAAAAAAACAGTGTATGACAGGTTTCTCCTTTACTTTCTGATCTATTTTTTCCCTTAAACCCCACTAAAAATAACAGACGTGTGGGGGGAGTTTGGCTCCTGAAATTATTCAGAGCCCATCTGCACATCTGTCCTCAGGGAGCCAGGACACTAGGACACGTGACTCACTCTAGTGAAGAATGGAATTCAGCCTTGAGAGACGACTCTAACTTAAATATACCATCCACAGAGAATATGATTCTGTGTCCCAATATTAGGGTCGTTCAATGGAAAGCAAAAAAAAAAAAAAATCCCCCCAAACGCACCCACCCACCCAACCCACAGCTCAAGAATTCCCCAGTGTGTCTAGCAGGTCACACTGAAGCGTTTGTGTCGGAACAGTTAAAGGCAGCTTTCAAGTGACCCATTTACTTGCTCAGAGGCTAAGCAATCTGATTCAGCACAATATAACACTGTATACTTTTCTTTAACCACATTGTCTCCCAAGAAGCCAGTAATGAGGTCGTGCTTATTTGTTGTAATAGTGTCAGACTCCCAGTGAAAAGAGAAATTCCGTTTGTTTTTATTTATTTATTTTTTCCCCTTAGGCGCCTTTATTAGCTCATAAACACTTACAGGGCTAAACAAGGGACTCCTTTTACTTTCGATTACAAGTTTTCCCTGTGTAGCAACATATCTGAAAATGCTATGCAACAAATCACACAGAGAGAGAGAGCTCAGTGAGAAATAGTTTGGCGAAAGACAGTGACAAGCACAAACTGTCCTTTGCACACCAAGGTTGTTATTATATTTGTAAAAATGAGTTCAGTCTCTAGATATTTCAATAAGCAGCTACTTAGTAAATCTCATTGTGCTACTAAGCTCAGTTCCACAGGGGCAGCTGTACCTAGCACAAGGGAAGGGGGAAAATTCACCTGCCCCAGAAAGAAAACCTGTGTTTGATTGTTAACGCTGGGAGTGAGACCATGAACAAACATTCGACATTCTGAATTCCAGTTTCCTCCTTTCCACTCTCTTGCAATTACTGTAAAGACTGAGAAAATATACAACAAATTCCCTAGATGAGAAAGTACCATCTATACAAATACAGGTTACCAAGGTAAAACAAAAGCAAACATGTTATCTGATGTCTAATCTATAAAGAACTGCATCTTGAGCATAAATCTCTTCCATGTACTTTGCCTGGCTACATTCGCTTTTCTCAGCATAGTGATGGTCTTGGAAACAAAAAAGGCATTAAATATTCTGGGAGCATCCAATGTTCTCTGACATTTCTACTTAAGGACCAAGTGTATGCATGAAGCAAGCCCTACAGATACTTCATTTAGATGGTAGGAGACTGTCTACAACGCAAGAAGCCGGTATGCAGACCACACCAAAATCTGATCCATCCCCACGCTCAATTTGATCTCAAAGCACTCAATAATCAATAGGCAATTTCTTATTAGAAAAATTCTCAGCAACCCAGGTATAATTCTGCAACACCCACGGCCCCTGCCTACTGTATACGATTTCTGCCCAATGGCGAGGATGCGTTTCAGAGGAATATGAATACCTACATCCGGATAGTAATCCACGTTAGGTACTAAGTGCTGGATGAGTGCTTCCAGGGACCCAGAGAGAAGGTTGTTGTCATGGTAATACAACCCTCCACAGCTGTCCTCTGCAGACTGGTAGAGGTTCCGGTTGTACCCACTGCTGTCAAACATTGCTGAAAAGGGAGGAGTCTGAGGCATGCTTTCCTAAAAGGAATAAAAAACGAGAAAACACGGCATCAGCAATACACGGTACGAAAATAAAAGTAAGCTTTAACAGGCACTAAGCTTTAAGAGTAATGAAGGAACGAGTAATTTTAAAAAATAGTTTAAGTTCTGATACAACATCAGAACCCACCAAGAACCAAAACTGCTCTTTGAGTACCACATGTATGCATGCTTCTGAGTACCAATCTCATTCAATCAAATACGATAAAATACTTAGACCAAGGGATGCGATCTGGGTGTCATATTTAGATATCACTCCTTCACACTGGGTTGCTCTGAAGGGGGCAGGGGACTGACCTTGGACTGCTTTGTCCCACCGCGTCAAGTATCTTCGTAAGGTGGACATGCCTAAGCCTTCAGATTTGGCTGGGAAGAGTCACCGAACCCTGGAGACACTTGAGAGCTACCCGGCTGGCATCGAACACACTGGGAGACAACCCGAACTGAAGCTGAAAAACTAACTTGCAAAACAGGCCTAGAATCAGAGTACCCGGGTGTGTGTGTGTGTGTGTGTGTGTGTGTGTGTGTATGTGTGTGGTGTGTGTGTGTATGTATGTGTGTGTGTGGTGTATGTGTGTGTGTGGTGTATGTTTGTGTGTGTGTGTGTGGTGTGTTTATACACACAGGTCTGCAGAAGAGACGCAATGCTGACTCCCAGCTGTGTGTGTGGTGTGTGTGTGTGTGTGGTGTGTGTGTGTGTGTTTATATATGCAGGTCTGCAGAAGAGACACAATGCTGACTCCCAGCTGTGTGTGTATGTGTGTGTGTGTGTATGTATGTGTGTATTTATACACGCAGGTCTGCAGAAGAGACGCAATGCTGACTCCCAGGTGTGTGTGTGTGTGTGTGTGTGTATGTGTGTGTGTGTGTGTGTGTGGGGTGTGTGTGTGTTTATACACGCAGGTCTGCAGAAGAGACGCAATGCTGACTCCCAGCTTTCACTGGAAGATCACATGCTGTTGATTTTCACCTCTTTGTGTCAAATGCTCCCGGCGGGGCTGGGTGGGGGGTGTCTACAAGGCCTCAGTTCTCAGTACACACGCGGGCGGGGAAGGCACCTGATTTGGGAACAAGGAGCACTGTGACAGCACCAGGATAAGTGGCCCCTCTCCATCTGTGTGCTTCGCAACTCACAAAGCCCTGGTCGCAGGGTGCTCTGCAGAGGCCAGAGGCTATTAAGTTATTACTTGGATTGCTAGGGACACCCACCGGCCCTGAGAACAGACTCCCCGTTTCTGGCAGCCCGTCTGGACAATGGAGGCATTCACGAGCCGCCGCCACCGGGGGTTTCGGGAGGCAACAATGAGGGGACTTGGACAGACGGGGCCAGAGGGTGTGCAGGCAGCAGGAGGACACGACCTGGGCTAATCTTTCTTTTCAAGACACCAAAAGATATTTGCATCCGAATGGGGGAGGGGTGTGGAGCCCCGTCTGCGAAGTCACATCCGTCACTCCCGGAGCATCTGTTCCAGCTACAGCTGATGGGGGGGGGGGCGCGGGGCACAGAGTGTCACAACCCGAGCACGTGCCTGAGCACGAGGCAACCGGGGGGGGGGGGGCAGTGTTAGGAAAAGACATCCTTTATAAAGCCAACTTGGCAGGTGGAAATGGCATTTAGGAAAAGAACCATCGAGAAAAATAAATTGGAAAAAAGCTTCATTTCTGTGCACTCTATTGCACCCACAAACCAGGGCTGAGGGAGCATTTGAAGAGGTCCGGGAAAAAGTAGCCATAAATGGGAAGAAAGTGATTACGGGGGACCACCCCAGCCAGGGAGATGCGTCACTACCGTGGTGGTGCTTGCCATGCCTCTCCCGGAGGTAGCACATGGTCAAAACAGCCAAAGGACCAAGAACTATGGGACGTGATGTTAACACAAATGCTCTGCACACCCCTTCAGCTGGTGAGACGCCACGCGTAGGAACCGTGGGTATATAAATAAGTAACTCAAGGTCAACATTTTATGGACGATGCCATGGACAAAGTACATCTTTTGCCTCTTCAAATTGCCGGGCTCCTAGGAGTACAATTCATGCACAATATAATCATGGCACACTGGTTGTCCTTGGGAAGAAAAAGAGCCCATCCACCCTTGCCCCGAGAAACTCAGAGTGTCCTCAAACTGGGAGGCAGGGACGCAAAATGAGAAGCACCTAAGAGTTATGTCTAATAACCTTGACGGGAGGTTATCTGTCCGGATTTGGTGGCCTCTGTCTTAGAAAGCTTCGCATGGTTATAACCACGCAGCATCCTTCGCGTAGAGGATGAGGAGTGGAACTCACTCTGTCTTGCCCTCGGAGTTGGCATTTTTTTCCTCTTAGGAACCAGGAATTTTCCTTGATTGCAAACGCTTATTCACTGCTATTGACATCATTCTCACAAAGTGCTTTTGGGAGATAGTTGGCCACAATTTGGGAATTCCAGAAAATCAGAAAACGATAAATCTTCAACGGGACTATAGAAATCGCCTTGTCCAGGATACGGAAAACAGATTTCATTTCACTTCCTAACTGCAATCCATTAGAGCTGGTTGTCTAGGGGTCTGAGGATGAGCGAATAGGATTTGGAGGCTGTCACTCAGTGGGAGAGGGTCAGTCCTAAGTGATCAGCAAGGATGCAAGACAGTCACGGAAGAAGCCAGAGCCCACGTGCCACCAGAATCTGGTCCAATCTCCTCTGTGCATAAACGTGTACACAGAGACCTGGGGCGGGGGTTGCGGGGGAGGTGAAATGACCAGGCTAAGACGACACAGCAACGTGGCTACCGCACACGAACTCCCCTCAGTCTTGTACCTCTCCTGCCTGGCGCTTGTTAGCAGTAAGCTCTGACCCACGAGATGGCCATGGGTCGGAGTTCAAGGAATCAGCACCAGAAGCCACCAGGCATTTGTACTTCTTAACCATTTACTCCTGCAAAGTGGACGAGGACAAGATCTGGGCGAGGATTCAGATTTAACGAAGTCCCAGTTTTGGTGCTTACTAGCTGTGAATAGCTTTAGAGGTTACTCCCCTCCACCCCCAGCTATGTTATTTCCAATTTTGCTGACCCCTTCCAAAATCCTAAATCATAACCAAACTACCTATCTTCTTTACAGCAAAGTTCTTCTCAGAGCCGATTACTATTAGAGCAATGGCAAAAGGCTTTTGTATGATTCTTTAGAAATGTATTGCCCACGGGACTTCTTTGAGGAGGTACAAAATATTAACACTTAGAAAACTCCCTTCGGTGAGGCACCAAAAGATGATAATGCTGATAGCAATGGAAACCAAATCAAGATAAATTAAGACAGATGCTAGCTTACTGTTCTTAAAAATCAACTGTAAGAAAAGCATTTATCACAGGCCATTTTCTGCCTTCGAATTAGCCCAAAGTTATGTTGCTAATTCGCTGATTTCATTTTCCCATGAGCCACCTGGGTTACCGGACTCACACACAACCACCAACTGCTGAGATTCGAGTCACTCCAAGAGATCCCAACCCCTTATTCATGCACAGTGGTCATATTTTTCTACCTTTCCATCTACTCAAGACAGTATATTTCCAATTCCTTAGGCCCTTCTCTCTTAGTTGGTTGAAAATGCTTCTCTCTGCATCCTTCCCCTGAAAGTCCCTCTCCTGAGATCCACGATGTGGAAGGTTCTGAAGATTTCATCGGCTCCCGTTTTCTCAATGGTTTACTGACTACAAATGCCTTTCTGGGTTCTACAACCGCCTCACCTGGCAGGCACCCTCATCCTTTTCTGACTACATGAGAAGCTGAGATTCAGAAAAACTATAATAACTTGCTTGGGGTCACACGTGGAGCAAGGGACAGACAGGGTAGGGTTTCAAAGTTAGGTCTTCAGATTTCAGGTTAAAAATTTATTGCACAACTTCATTTATACTGCAAATGGTCTTCTTCGAACTTCTAATATTTAATCATAAAATGAAAATCTTGACAGTCTGTCCTGACTTGTAGGCTATTAGAATAATTTATATGTTTCACATGTTCTACATAAATCCTTGCTCCAAAGACATAGTAATACCATTAATTACTCTTATTAAAAAGTCAGACTGTCAACAGCAATATTTAAGCTACTGACCTTTGCAAGCAAAGCATAGCCCAAGAGATTTCAGAGATTCTAATATGCATTTTAAAAAATATTTTAGTATCTTTAAAACTGGGATGCACATAAACAATTGAGTGATTAAAAATGTTTAATTAACAGTCTTTTAAAAGAGATATAACAGAGTATCTTACAACGAATGGCATCTCGGATGTAATGAAATACAGTAATATTTTCTCATATGCACTTTATAGGTTTCCAGGAAAAAATTTCATAAGACAAATGACCAAAAGAAAAATCACTGGTCATAGTATCCATCACTCATTTCTGGACAATCTCTAACCAGTGGCCAGTCTGGCTCTTTCCTGAAGGATCAGATGTCTAAGTAATAGAAACATTTGCTAAATGCCAGGAAAAGTCAGCAGAATGATACAAAAAGTTCTGTTTGTGAAACATAATTTTAAATACCTAAGAAGAGACACCTTGTAGTTTGTTTTCTCTTAAGTATCCTCTCTCGTATGACCCACATCAAGAGCTACAACTTGTTCAGGATTACTCAGATTTGATGTCTAGGTCTTTAGTTCTACCTGCTTCCATTCTGCGATTGAAAAGTGAGGCCCAGAAGATTAAATATTGGCTCCGTATTTGTTAAGAAAATAAATCCAATATCCAGAGTACTGGACACTAGAATCCAGAGAAACATTTCTCCCCGGGCACTATTAAGTTTAGGAATCACCTGCTGATGGTTTCTCTGGGGTAAGAAAGGCTTAGTGGGAACCCACAACTTCCATTCTTTCTTTTCTATCCATGTAGTTCTGATGCCTTCCTTATCTGTGGCAAACCTTCTTTCAGCTTCCATAACTAACACTTTCTGCCTCTGGGCTCCAGTAAACTCTCAATTTACTCCTGTCTACACTTTCCAACAGAACTTC